TGGTGTCTATGGTGATATTTCTTTTTTCATCACAAATTTTAGAAATTTTTCATTTCTCTTGGTTAGCATGGCTAAGGGCTTATCAATTTTATTGATTTTTTTTTTCCAAAAAATCAACTTTTTGTTTTGTTGATCTCTTGAATTGTTTTTTCAATTTCAATTTTATTCATTTCAGCTCTGATTTCAATTATTTCTTTTCTTCTATGACTTTTGATGTTGATTTGTTCTTCTTTTTCTAGGGCCTTGAGATGTAACATTAGGTTATTTAATTGTGACTTTCTATTCTTTTAATGAATGAACTCAGTGCTATAAACTTTCTTTTTAGAGCCACCTTCATAGTGTCCCAGAGATTTTGATATGTTGTGTCGCTGTTCTCATTTACCTCTAAATATTTTTTAATTTCATCCCTGATTTTTTTCTGCTATACATGGATCATTCAGTATTATATTATTTAGTCTCCAGATATTAGAATAGCTTCTATTTTTTTTGTTATGTCATTGATTTCTAATTTCATTCCATTATGATCTGTTAGAATGCAAGATATTATCTCGATTTTTTTTGTATTTGCTAAGCATCACTTTGTGGCCTAAAATGTAGTTTATTTTAGAGAAGGGTCTATGTGCTGTTGAGAAGAAAGTGTATTCAGTTATTGATGGATGAAATATTCTATATGTCTGTTAAGTCTAAATTATTAATTGTATTTTTTAGTCCTATAGCTTCTCTATTTAGTTTTTGTTGGAAGATTTATCCAGTGATGAGAGAGGCATGTTAAAGTCACACAGTATTATTGTGTTGTGGTCTATTTGATTCTTGAAATTGATAAGGGTTTGTTTGAAGTACATAGATGCTCCATTGTTTGGGGCATAAATATTTATAATTGTTATATCTTGTTGATGTATAATTCCCTTAAGCAGTATTAAAAACCCTTCTGATTAACTTTGGTTTAAAGTCCACTTTATCTGATATGAGGGTAGAAACTCCTGCTTGTTTATGAAATTAATGCTTCAGATTTGATGATGCAATGAAAACTTCCACAATAAACAAAAATTAAAAGAATTCACAACTAGAAAGACTTCACTACAAAATATACTCAATAAAATATTTCATGAAAAATAAAACTGAAAACCAGCAAAGAGAGAATAATCACCTGGTTTTCTAGTTACACTCTGGGTCATGTGGTGAGCCTCTGCCAGGTCAGTTTTTCAGACCCAGCTAGAATTATACAGGTCTGGGTGCCTGGGTTTGGACCCATACCCATTGGCCATGGAAACACAGTAGAAAAAGATGGTGGCTGTCCCTGTTCATTGTGGGCCACTGGGAGATGCGCCACATCCTTCTCACACAAAAACAAAGCACAGCTCACTGTGTGCTTGATAATGTCCCTGATCACTGTCCTCTCTGTTTTAAGACATGCCTTAGTGCCATCCAAAATGTGGGTTCTCTTAATCTCCCTCTCTGACTTGCCCATGGTAGATGGCATCAGCTGTTGGTGCCAGCAATAAAGACATCTGATCCTAGGATTTTTTGGATAGACTTTTCATGACTAATTCAATTATCTTATTTGTTATTAGTCTGTTCAGGTTTTCTAATTCTTTATAATTTAATCTTAGTAAGGTATATCTATCCAGGAATTTTTCCATTTTGTTGGTGTATAATAATATCTAATGATTGTTGGCATTTATATGGTGTTGGTTGTCTCCTTTTTCATACCTGATTTTATCTGAGTCATCTTTTTTGTTCCTAGTCTGGCTAAGGGTTTGTTAATTTTTTAAATCTTTTCAAAGATCCAGTTCTTCATTCATTGATTTTTTTCTGCATTCTTCTTTTCAGTCCCTATTTCATTTATTTCTGCTCTGATCTTCATTATTTCTTTCCTTTTACTAATTATGGGTTTCTTTTGTTTTGTTTTTCTAGTTCCTTGAGGTATAGTGATAATTTGTTCAAGACCTTTCTGTTTTGATTACTATGAACTTCCCTTTTGATACTGCTTTATCCCATAGGTTTTGGTATATTAGTTCCATTTTCATTTGTTTCAAGAAATTTTTAAATTTCCTTAATTTCTTCCTTGATTCATTGGTTTTTCAGGAGTAAGTTGGTGAATTTTTATGTGTTTATATAGTTTCCAAAGTCTTTCTTGTTATTAATTCAAGTTTAAAAGTATTGTGACTAAAAAGATATGATTTCAGTTTTTAAAAAATGTGCTGAGGCCAGGTATCATGGCCCATGTCTATAATCCCAGCAACTTGGGAGGCTGATGCAGGAGGAATCGCAAGTTCAAGGTCAAACTTGGCAACATCGTAACACCCTAAACAAGTTAGTGAGACCCTGTCTCAAAATAAAAAATAAAAAGGGCTGGGGATGTGGCTCAGTGATTAAGTGCCCCTGGGTTCAATCCCTAGAGTAAAAAAGTAAAGTGTTGAGACTTTTTTGAGGCTTAACATAACATGATCTATCCTGGAAATGTTCCATGTTCTGTTCTGAAGGGGAAAAAGTGCACTGTGGCAACTGTCAGATGTAGAAGCTGTTAGATGGAAAGTCTGTTAGGTCTATTTGGTCTTAGTTTTTTGAATTTTTGGCCTGGATCATCTGTCCATTTCTGGAAGTCCCCTACTATTATTGTACTGAAATATATCTCTCCCATTAATATTTAATATAGTTTTCTACTATTAATATTTGCTTTATATATTTAAGTGCTCTACTATTGGATTGGGTGTTTGTCTTTACGTGTGTGTGTGTGTGTGTAAAATTTCCTCTTGCTAAACTGACTAAATTGATCATTATATCATTGACTTTATTTATTGCTTTTGATTTAAACTCTATTTATCCGAAATCAATATGGTTACTCCTGCTTTCTTTTGGATTCTGTTTGCATTGCATCTCTTCATTTTTAGTCCTCACGTGTCCTTTAAGGTGGTGAGTTTCTTATAAGCAATATATATATGTATTTGGGTCTTTTTTTTTCTCATCCATTTTGCTGCTTTGTCTTTTAATTGTAGAATTTAACCCATTTACATTGAAGGTAAGTTTTTGATAGGGAAGGTATAACTATTGCCATTTTGTTATTTGTTTCTTTCTCCTTCTTTTATGGTCTTCCTTTATGGCTAACTGATTTTCTCTAGCAATCTGTTTTGATTCATTATTTTTGGTTTGTCTAATAAGGACTTTTGCTTTGTGGCTACCATGAGACTTACAAAAAATAGTTTTTAATTATAACCAGCTATTTGAAGTCATAGCAACTTGAAATTATTCAGAAATAGAGGATAATAAACAAAGAAAAAAGATTAAAACACTAATAAAATTTTTTATATTTCTTTCCACATTTGAATTTTTGATGTCTTATACTTCTACATTGTTTATCTCTTGATATATTAATATTTATTATTTTAACTGTTTTATATTTTAGTCTTCACACTGAAGATATGAGTGATTTAGGTACCATGTTTGCACTGTTAGGGTATTCTGGATTCATCTTTGAATTTAATAGTGAGTTTGTTTCTCTTTTGATATTTTCCCCTTTCTGGTTGGTGTTTCTGTTTTATAATTTGACAATCCCCTTTTGCATTCCTTTTGGGCTAAATTCTCTGATTGGTGGTGATAAATTCCCTCAGATTGTTTTAGAATGTCTTTTTCTCCTCCTTGACGTCTAAAGGATAACTTTGCTGAGTAAAGCATCCTTGGTTGACAGTTCTTTTTCCCTTCCCTAGTGTACAAATCTCATCCTACTAATTCCTGGCCTAGAAAGTTTCTGCTGAGAAGTCTTCTGTCAGAGATATTGGGACACCCGTATGCATTATGTGTTTCCTTTGTCTTCATGAGAATTCTTGTGCATGCTAGGCTAGTGCTTTACGACTGGGTTACATCCCTGGCCCTTTTATTTTGAGATAGGGTCTTGATAATAATTTTCCCAGGCTGGTCTCAAACTTGTGATCCTTCTGCTTCAACCTCCTGAGTATCTGGGATTCCAGGTATGTTCTCTGCATCTGGCTGAAAATTCTCTTTAACCCTTGAGAATTTCATTATAATACATCTTGTGGTAGATTTGGTCGAGTTAAATCAAACCAGTGAGCTTTCATCTTCCTTACTTAGATATTTGTATCTTTCTCTGGGTTTGATAATTTTTCTGTTATCAGTATGAATAAATTTTGTACCCCTATGATATTCTCAAGTCTTTCTTGAACCCCAGTAACCTAAATATTTTCTCTCAATACTATCCCAAAATTCCCATAAGCTTTCTTTATTTCACTTTTTTCCCCCATTTTTTCTCCTCCATATCCACACAGCCTGTGTTCAAGCTTACTTATTCTTTTTCTGTTCGATTTATTCTGATACCTTCTTCAGTATGTCTTCATTTTTGTTCTAAGAGCAGGTACAATGATCTCGCTTTGGGTTTTCTTTAGCTCTTGTGACAGCAGTGTGAATAGCTCTTCAAATTGATTTCTCTGTGGGGAAACAATTGCTGGAACCTCCTACTCAGCTGACATCTTGCCCTCCACTCATAGCTTCGTAGCCCTACCTGTCCCCCTTTCTACAAAAGTGGAGACTGGCAGGGTGAGGTTAAGTAGCTGAGGAATTTATCAAAAGTAAACCAAGGTCCATGTGTCTTCAGATCCCTGGCTTTTTCCATGATACCACACCCAACAGCTCCTCAGACACTTAGGAAACCACTTATCCTCCCACCCAGCCATCTTGGTATAAGACCAGAAAGGAACAAATGCTATCAGAAGCAGTTTAAAGGGAATTAGACTCCTCACTTGTGTTTACCTCACACTCCCAAACATAAATACAACAGCAGGATCTGAGAGGGCATCCATCCAATATAAACGTTCAGGGCTACTACAATAGCTTTGGAAATAAGCCATAATTATATTAGCATTACATTTAGCTACTTAATCTCTCCTAGAAAACTTATTAAACAATGAGATGGGGTCAGTGTTTTGGACCTTTGTGTTTATGACTCCCTAGAAGTTTTAATTAATTTTTTTTGTACGTGACTATTTCAGCCAAAAGACTTTAACCACACAGATCATTTCTCAGTGGCCATATTCACCATCCACCGGATTCTCCCCCCTGACTCAGGGGTGTGGGTCTGCAGTGTGAACACAGTGGCTGGGATGGTGGAAAAGCCTTTCAACATTTCTGTTAAAGGTAAGCTTCATTTTCCATGGGAAGATCTTACACCCTTGATGCGTGGTGTTTATGTATTGCTGGGGAACCAAAATACTTTTGAGGTATTTTTTAGGATACTGAGTCTTTTTTATTAAAATCATGTCCATGAAAGTAGAATAAAAAGATCAAGAGTATACTTTTTGAAGTCACATAGCCTTGGGTTTGAGTTTTGTCTCTAACAGCTGGTAATCTTGTATGTGGTCTTGAACAAATGAACTTAACCTCCATGAGCCATTCTTTATAAATGAAGCTTATTTTCTCAACCCCTGAGAGTTATTTTATCATCATTGTTGTGACATTTTTCAGTAAGTTTTCTCAATAAGTTTAGCTTCATCATTGTGACTTTCTACTCATCATGAAGAATGATTTGGAGAATCTGTTTGGAAGATCACTCACTTAGTATGAAGCTATTTTAAAATATTAACATGAATGATTGTTCATGATTCAGGTTTGTGGACATTCTTCCTGTTATAAATTGGTATTTCAAATTTTTTAATTAACCTGAGTGAATATGTATACATTTGTGGCTTGAAGGGAAACAATAAATTAGAGGTAAATACAAATTAACTTGGCTGGTCATTCATAGACATAACAAGGAATTTTAAATATGGAAGTGACATATGAACTCATTTAGACAAAAATACCTAATAGCTCTCCGGTATAAATTCTACAAATGGCACTGATATTACAATATCTAAATACTCAGTCATTGCATACTTCATCTTATTTAATCTTTGCAAGAGCCTTGGACAGCAGATATTTTTATCTCCTTTTCCAGTGAGGAAACAAATTCAGAGGATTTAAAGTGTACGAGGTAGCACAGCTGATAAGTGGCCAATCTTAGTTTTAAATCTGGGTCTCCTGACCTCAACACCAGAACTATCTTTTCTAGACCATTTTGCTTTTGAAGTCTCTTTTACAGATGAGGAAGCAGGATGGCCAAAGTTGTATACCATCTAGTCCACCCCATTATTTAATTAGAAATCCTTTGGGAGATCCCAGATGTAACCTCCATAAATGAAGTGGTATAAGTACTCAGAACATAGTAGTGTTTTAAAAGGAGGTCAGTAATAGCAGAGACATAAACACAACTGCATAGACTTTAATTCTTTGCCCTGAGAATCCATGTACACCATCTTGGACTCATTATTTATTTATTTATTTTTTAATTATAGAAAAAAGCCCAAATCTCTTTTATTCAGTAGAAAATTCATATGATCAAAATAACTTCTTACACCTTGCTTATATTCCTATGGGGAAATAAATGGCAAATAAATAACCTGTAACATTGGTTAAAATGCTGAGTGCCATGGAAGAAACTAAAGCAGAAGTGGGGTAAGGAATGCTGGGGTAGGCTGGAGAGGTGACTACAATTTTAAGTGGGGTATCCTTGAAGGTCACTTCTAAGTCAAAGTGTTGAGACAAAGAAGAAAATTAAAATTACTGAATGTTGAATTGTCCTCTGATATCTGAAGCTTCCGTATCATATAATACACATTCTTGAGGAGGGAAAGAAAACCCAGGTATGTATTTCTAAGAAAACCTTCCCCCGCTCCGCCACTTTTGAGGTGTTGGGGATGGAATCCAGGTCCTCACACATGCTAGGCAAGTGTTCTACCATGGGGCTACATCTCCAGCCCAAGAAGGTCTCTTTCTAATGGAGCTATTGAGCTCCTGGAAACTCACTGACACACACTTATTGAGCACCTGGTAGGTTCTGTACTGGTGAACAAACCTTCATGGTCTTTGCCCTATAGTAGTTTAGAGTCTAGTGTTTTACAACCTTCTTTTATTATCATTCGACTGAGGAGCTCTTTTAAAAATTTTATTCTAAAACTCCTAGCACCATAAAGTTTCAACATTACAGCTGTACTGTACATCCATTTATGGACTGTGACCTTTTGGAGGTCTACAATCTATTATAATATCTAAATTTTTTGATTCTTCCAAAAACCAGTTTTCAGCTTCTTGGAGTTGCTCTCACTTCCATTGAGAATGCATGGTTATTGAGATGGATAGATTGTTCTAGACTCTCCAGTGGATGCCCACTGGATAGACTTAAGGCAAGAATCTTTCCTGACCATAGCCAGAAAGAGAGGCATCATAGTGGAAGGAGGGTCACAGAGACCTGACCTTGTTGGCTTTTGAAGGTGAGGAAGAGACTTGGAGCCAAGGAAGGCAGGTAGTCTCTGGTAGATTCTGCTCTAGAACCTCCAGTAAGGAACACAGTCTTGCAGACACTTCCATGGTAGCCCAGTCAGACTCATGTCAGACTCCTGACCTCCACAACTGTAAAATAATAAATCTGTGTTTTGTTAAACAGAAAAAAGAGCATATATATGAGTGAGTGAATACATGATGTGGTAGGAAGACCAATAAAATAATCACAATAACTTAGAATAATTAACTCAGAAAATTACAAGGAAAAATAAGTAGAGGTTCTCTGAGAGCATATAACACAGGCATCTAATCGAGGTTCTGGGACAGCCTCCTGTGATGAAGCCATATCAGAGCTAAAAGGTGAATGTTCAGTAGGAGTTAACTGGGAGAATAATAGGAGGTGGATTCCTTGCAGCACATCAACAGAGAGGCTGAGAGGGAAAGGAGCTAGGTGCTTGTCGGTTGAGTGAACTAAAAGGTGAACGGGATTGGAGGGTACTGGATGAGGGAAGAGAAGGCTTGGAGTTAGAGTGAGCAATTATGCAAGGCCTGGCAGGTCATGGTACAGGTTTTGATTTTAATCCTATGTGCATAAGGAGAATCCACCGAAGGGGTGTGGGCTGAGGAGTATTTTAGGGAAGAATTTTTTGGATAATGGGTAGGAGGAACAAGATCAAAGCAAGAGAGCTCAGAGAGCATTGAATCTGAGCAGAGAACTCCAAGAGGACTTGGAAATGTAAAGCACTCTTCCTCTACCCCTATTAAGAACAACAACAAAACCCCAAAGCCTAAGGACTAATGTTATCGCTTTAACTTTATTTAGTTCTTCCAAAGCCCCTGAATGCACCGAATGTGATTGACACTGGACATAACTTTGCCATCATCAACATCAGCTCTGAGCCTTACTTTGGGGATGGGCCAATCAAATCCAAGAAACTTCTGTATAAACCTGTTAATCATTATGAGGCTTGGAGACACATTCAAGGTAAGGTTTGTACAGGAGGGGCCCCAGGGATATGACATCAGGAAAAATATTATTCCCCAAATATAGAAATCCCCTTCTCCCTGCCACTACCCTCTATTCCATTTCAGAATATTCAGGAGAGTGTGGGGGGCCCTCTAAGTTCTGGGACTGACTTTCTGGAAGTCTCTGTGTACTAGGGGCACAGGGCCCGTTTGCATTGTGAGTAACTCTCTAGGTCAGTATTTCCTGTCTAGGCCTCTCTGGATCTCCAGTTCTGCCTTGAGCACTCTCTCTTGCCTGGTCATGGTGAAAACATGTGTTTACACCATGAATGTGGAAACAGGAAGCCCAGGGCTTGCTGGAAAGGCAGACTTAATTTGCCTAAATCCTAGGGGTGATTCTTTGTGCCTTGTTAAGTCATTTACTCTTTTCTCTTTTCATGTCTTGCCCTGTCCTGCAGACTCTTAACACACAGGTTCAGGATTTTGAACCTGAAAAGTTTGGGCAGTTGCAAACAGGACTAGGGTGGGGGAAGAGGGAGGTGTGGTTAAAGAGAGCTCTATCACGCTCCTCCAACTTCCTGAAAAAAGAAAAAAAATTAGCAAAATGTAACAAAATGTCAAAAGTTCACGATAACAGTTAAATTTATTTTGAAACACAAATTACAGTTCTGTTTGTATGATATAAAATCATAATTTAAAAATTAAAATAGAACAGCAATATCAATTGATGCTCTAATTGAGCCATCTCATGGACAGACCTGCCACTATGCAGCTTGTAGGAAACATGTATCCTTCCATATTTAATCTTACTTTGCCCAGGATTTCCTAAAAATGATTCTGTATCTACTGTATGTAGATAATTGAGAAAGTTATTAAAGAAGAAAAGTAGGGTTTGGATTCAATAATGCTGCTGACAACCTAGGTAGATTGGATGAAGTCAAAATATTGCTACTGAGTTCTTCTCGTTCTACTGTAGATTCAAATAAAATCTAGACTCAGAGATGTTGAGCTGATTTGCTGGACAGCTGTTTCCAACATCAGTGGCCAGGCCCGTTTTGTCATATGGCGGTAATAAGCCATCACCTTGTCTACCAGTGAATATCCATAGAGTACCTTTCTAAGAACTGTTAAACATAGTCTATTTCCCCCCCCCCCTTGCCAATTAGGAACTTATTGTAGGGTAAAGAAAAAATTTACCTTTGAAATGTCAATGGAAATACAGAGGCTGGCTAAAGCAAATAACTAAGGAGAAAATGCTATTTGAAAATAATCCTGTATTTTCCAGGGACTTCAGAACCCTTCCTTATAATGATGTGACTATTACAAATCGGTTGTCCAATCACATTAAGCAAACCCTTCAAGAGTCTTTTTGCTCAATAACTTGATTAAAATCAGTGTATGAACTTGAAAACGGTAAAAATAAAATTATTCTAATTGAGTTTTTCCTCCTAAGTATGATGTTTCATATAGTAAATTTGTAAGGTCTTATTTTGCAAACGGAAAGATAAAAGCACAAGGGCAGAAATGTGCAGGTGGCACAGAGATTATACGTAATGACACACTGTGACCTGGCAACATTTTTTCAAAAACTCTAATTTTTCTTATTCTGAAAAAGTGAGGCCTTAAAGATAGAATTGCTTGTTTCACCCAGATGTTATCTTTTTGAAAATTTAATTTTGTTTTACATTGCAATAATAACCTCCCAAGTTTAAACAATTTAACAAAATGCAAACTGAAGTTTCCTGGACTTTTCCTCTTCTCAGTGACAAATGAGATTGTTACACTCAACTATTTGGAACCTCGAACAGAGTACGAGCTCTGTGTGCAGCTGGTCCGTCGCGGAGAGGGCGGGGAAGGGCATCCTGGACCCGTGAGACGGTTCACAACAGCTTCTATCGGTCAGTTGAAGCCAACAGGCATTTATTCATGAGCAGGGTGGGAGGGGGAGGAAAGGGAAAGAGGAAGGAAGACCAGGAAGGGTGGTGGTGGGTGAGTGGGTGGGTGGGGATGGAGGTGGACGGAGTTTGCTTTTGAATGGGTGGGAAAGTGACAGGAAGGCTGGCAACTTCAGGCCAAACAGTGCCTTTATTTGGGCTGGACTCCTGGTCTGTCTCCCTGGGGGAGGGGGTCTGCAGCCATCCACGGGGACAGAAAAGGAAGCAGATGAATCTTCAGGAAGGCAGGGACATCCCTTAGGACTTGAGATTTACTTAGCAGCAACTGTGCTGAGCCTGGGCTCCTGTATTTCACCACCGGCTTCCTGTTTCCATCTTAAGGGTCCAGGCCAGGCTTCTGCCACAGACATACTTTAGAAATCTCAGTTTGTTTATTTTTTAAAACAATTTCTAACTTTTCAAAGTAGTTCATACACATGATTAAAACTTCAAATAGAATGAAAGGCTTTTATCTAAAGAACAGCACCCACTGCTTTACCCCTCCACTTCCCAGCTCTCCCTCCTATAGCCAGTTTTATCTCCTTAGACTGTTTTTTACAATCTTTGCCTCCCTGTTGCTAAATCAGTGGTTCTCAAACTCAGTGTCCAGCAGAATCACCTGGAGAGCTTGTTTTACTGGATTGCCGAGCCCATCCCCAGAGTTTCTGATTCTGCAGGTTTGAAGTAGGGGTGGTGCTGGGGTTCAATAATTTGCATTTCTAGTAAATTCTCTGATTTGGGTCTACATATTATACATAATTTGTGTAGAGATATTTCTCAATTCACCAAAATCATCTGGTACCTTTTGGCCTTCCACTGGTTTAATGGAGAAGCTCTTGATGTTATTTTGCAGCCTCTTTGACACTACCTGGGGTGCAGCTTTCTTCCACCAGGGGCCTCCTCTGAAACACCAACGTGATTTTCTGTAAAGTTCTCTTTTATGGACCTTTGACTTATTCACTGTGTATAATCATTATCTCACTCTCTCCTGGTCATTTCTTTATAGTTTCAGGTTCATATATATTTAAATCATACTACCTTATAGGGTAAAAATGATCATCTTCCTCACTTTAAAGATGGAAAAGTAGAGTTTCAGAGTGGTTAATAATTTGCCTGTGATGACGAGTCTTATGAATCATGTACCGTACTAGATCATCAGAATCCATATCCTTGTTTCTTATTTTTACCTATGAGGCCAAAGTTGCCATTTCCTTATTTCATACATTGTTCTTTTTTTTTTTTTTTTTTTAGTCCACTTACTAAAGGCAGGAGGATATGGAATGATTCAGTGAGAGAACTAGGAAGAACACCTAGATCCTCTGGGGGGATTGTGCACCCCAATAAAGACAGCTCTCCCCTCATTACCCACCAGTCTCATCTGATCAGCATCCTTAAAGAACCAAATGAGACACAAAAGCTACTCTGGGGCTTGTAGAGGTTAAGCACAAGTAAGAACTGGCTTCCTGGGAACCCATCAGGTTGTGAAAGCAAAATAAATAAATAAATAAATAAAACTAGAAGGTGTATATACATTAGAAAGGGATCTCTGTAACTGAAAATGAAGGGAACTCATATGTGTCAACAGGGTGCTGCCAAAAGGCAAATCGTTGTTCTCTCTTGATGAATCTGAAGAAGGAAGTCCTAATTTGATTCGATGGGCAGTATTTATGGAACAGAATATAAATCCTTCACAGGCCCACACCATATAGTCCTCAGAATATGTTCCAACCAGGATGTATTCAGAAGTCTCTTGGAATACTTCAAAGTACTTCTCAAGGCTGGACGGGAAGGGAGTTCTTGAAGGTTCTCCTTTTCCCATCTGAATTTTGCTGATGCTGGTTTTTAATTCATCTGAAAGTTGCACTGTTTATGTGTGTTGATTGAGGTGGTGAAAGCCAGGGAGACCAACAGAAGAGGGAAGAAAACATATTCTGAACATGTTGGAGAAAGAGGGCAGTCAGGGCAGGGGGAAGGGCTGCCATGCTCCTCAAGGGAAAGGGAAGTGTCTGTATTTGTCCAGCGTCTCCTCTGTGAGACACAAACTTGGGAGGCTCCAATGTGTTCTCCAAAACATCACCTCTTCAGGCCACTTTGCCATTGTAAGCCTGCCTACCACTCTGGGTGGCTGACATTGGAATTTAAACTTCAGAGATTAGCAAAAGGAGTGAACACCATCTCACCCAATTTGCCTAGATTTTAGAGAAAGAACCAAAGAACCATCTTTAGCATGATGCTAAAGTGCAAGAGCATGCCTGGTCGCTGGTTCTCACTAGTCTGAGAGCAGTCAGGATGGCTGGTGTGATTTCCAGCTCAATGAAAGCAGCCCCTTCCTCTCATCTCTAACCAAGAGTCAGAGCAGTGTTTCTTAACCTCATTTTTTTTTAAATCACTCCATAAGTAGCTTTTTAAAAACACTTTTGTCCTAATAGGCTTCTCCTCTCCCCAAGACATTTTAATACCATGATAGTGTCCATCTGTGTATCATGACCCTTTATGAACCATTGTAATAATCTAATATTTTCTTATGCTGTTAAGAGCCAATTTTTGTCCCCTAGGGTTGGTAACATTGCCACTGAGAATGCACGAATGAGGGGATACCCATCTTGTTTTGAAAAGAATTTATATCTGGGATTTATACATTGATTACTATTATTAACTGAACCCGTAGTTTCCTCCTTTGTTCATTAACACAAGAGGAAAGAAGGAAGCAGGATGGGAGGGAAGAAATATAAACAGAGCCTCCAATACCTTCAAAGCATTTTCACATCCATTATCTCATTCATTCCTCCTAAGTCTGGAAGAGAGTATTTTCGTGTTACTTTACATGTTAACTTGGAGGGGCTATGAATTTGCACCAGGTCATGAAACTAAAGTGGCATGCTCCTGCTCTCTGATTTTAAAATCCATATTGTTTCCATTCAGCCACCTCTTTGGTCACGGAGGTTCATGTGGGTAATTATGGCAGTGTGTAGTCATAGATGATACTTTGTGTGTGTGTGTGTGTGGGGGGGGGCTCTAGGATGCTTTGCCACTAAGCTACATCTCCAGCTATTTTTACTTTTTATTTTGAGGTAGGATCTCAATAAGTTAGTGAGGACCTCATTACATTGCTGAGGCTGGCCTCAAACTTGTGATAGATCCTTCTGCTTCAGCCTCCCAAGTTGTAGGGACTACAGGTGTGAACCCTCAGAACTGGCATAGCTGATAACTGGATGTGAACTGAGCAGGGAAAGGGATGACCTTGCCATCACAGCTGCTATAATGTCTGAAATTCCCCTTGCTTAGGGGAAGTATCCCTGAAACAGCTTTAAAATGTATTTCTCAAAATGGTAACAAATGCTAAATACTCACAACCCTACAACCTAGGAAAACCCATTGTTTTTATTTTCAATAGTTTCCCTCCTATCTTTTACCAATTTTAGATGACTTTTACCAAGTTGCACTCAGTTTTTTTTTTCACTCATGCACTATATATATTTTTACTAGGTTTCCACACTCCTCTTAATTATCTATTTTAATGTATTGATGGCTATAGTATAATTCATTAAAAATTTCCCTGTTTTGACTATTTAGTTTTTTCCAATCGTTTGCTGTTATGAATAATGTTATAATGAACATCTCCATGCACATAGTTTTTCTTCTTCCTTCAGGATTTATTTCTTCAGTCATTTTTAAGGCTCTTAAAGAAATATCCCCCAAGTTCTCCAGTGGGGTTATACTCCTGTATTGAAGTTACTCAAACTACATATTATTTTAAAGATTTGCTATTTGGGCAGCAAAACAAGTGTCATATGACTGCTAGCTTGTGTTTCTTTGACGGCGTGTGAAGTTGTATATTGTTCTAGAAGCCAAAGTTATTCTTCCAAGATGTCCCTTGGGGACGTCATCACTTCTGACCTCTGTCAAATAATGATCTTTCTGGTTTCTCCTAGGACTCCCTCCCCCACGAGGTCTCAGTCTTCTACCAAAAAGTCAGACCACGCTAAATTTGACCTGGCAACCAATATTTCCAAGCTCAGAAGATGACTTCTATGTGGAAGTAGAGAGGAGGTCGGTGCAAATAAAAAGTGATCAGCAGAATATTAAAGTGCCAGGCAACTTGACCTCAGTGCTGCTCAACAACTTACACCCCAGAGAGCAGTACATAGTCCGAGCCAGAGTCAACACCAAGGCCCAGGGGGAATGGAGTGAAGATCTCATCGCGTGGACCCTCAGCGACAGTAAGTCATTCATGCTTCTCTAGTCACACTTGAACAGCACTCAGCTACTGACATTGGGGCTTAGCTTCTGCCACTTCAAGACTGTTCTCAGCCTCCTTATATCAAAGAAAACATTTGACATTTGTTTTTTTGGGATTGGCTAACTTCACTTAGCATCATCTTCTCTAACTGCATCCATTTACCTGCAAATGCCATGATTTTATTCTCTTTTATTGCTGAGTAATATTCCATTGTCACATTTTTTTTTTATCCATTCATCTATTGAAAGGCATCTAGGTTGGTTCCACAGTTTAGCTATTGTGAATTGTGCTGCTATAAACATTGATGTGGCTGTGTCCCTGTAGTATGCTGTTTTTAAGTCTTTTGGGTATAGACCAAGGAGAGGGATAGCTGGGTCAAATAGGCTGATTCATACTGGGTAGGGAGGGGGAGCATGGGAGGAATAGACAAACTCTAGATAGGCAGAGGGGTTGGAGGGAAAGGGAGAGGGCATGGGGTTATTAATGATGGTGGAATGTGTTGATCATTATTATCCAAAGTACAGGTATAAAGACAAAAATTGGTGTGAATATACTTTTTATACAACCAGAGATATGAAAATTGTGCCCTCTATGTGAATAAGAATTGTAATGCATTCCACTGTCATATATAAATTTAAAAAAAGACTATTTTTAGAAATAATAGAAGGTAATTTTTTAGTTAAGGCCAATTAATGTTCACCTAGTCATTTTACTAACCTGCAATACAGAACAAAGCCCATTAGGATTTTCAGTGATTCAGGCAGGAGTGCTAAATTCACCTCTCCTTGTTATGCTTTATTAAGTAGACTAGTAACACGAATAAGGTTTTGTAAGGTTTGTGAGTACATGGATACCCAGTAATGAGGGATGAGTCTTTCTTAATCTTAAAAGCTAAACAACTTACTTGAAAACTTTTTAAAACACAGTTCCTAGAGTTAAAATATATGTATCTGAGAGCATTAAAACCATTTTTTTCTTTCAAAATAGTCTACAGTTCAGGCTTTTCAATATTTCAGATTGGTTATTTAGAATTTGTTACAACTTTGGGTTTCTTTTAGGATTGAAAGTTTTTATGTCATTAAACAGCAAGTGCTGTTTTGCTTCAATGAATTATAACTGTGTCATTACATTTTGGAGGCCTAGGAAAGACGAGGTTCTTCTTGGGCATAACACTACTATAAGTCAGTGTGATGTGGCCCCTTGTCAATCCCCAAAGTCTGAGGCTCTCTTCTTCAGCTGGTTCTCTGCCTCCTCATTAACAGTGTGCAAGCTGGCTCGGTGTTTCTCCAGTCACTCTCTCATGTCGGTGACTCTTGAAAGTCTGACCTGTGTTGCTAGTATTTAGGGTTGTTTTTTGTTTGTTTGTATGTATGTGTGTGTGTGGTGTGTGCACTCGCATTATGTAAAATTTAGAAGTTACAGAATAGTGCAGAGACTAACACAACACACATTCACCATCCAGGTTAACAATAGTTAGCACTTGGTCATGTTTGCTTTTAGCATTTTTTTTTGTTGATCTGAAGTCATAAAACAATACAGATATGTTAAAATCCTCTTTGACTGTCATTCCTGTTTCTACTCCCCTCTCTCCAGAGACAACCAAAAGTATGAAATTTTGTCTTTCCTTTCATTGTTATATAATAATATATAGAGATCTATGAGTGTAAATATGCATACAGACCACTCATCTGTTTCTTAATAAACAAGATTCTTATCTGTTAATTTATTTGGATCTGATGTATTCCTTATACACGTCTGTTATATACGACATGTTATATCATTTATATCTTTCTTTTTAGATGGACATTTAGGTTGTTTTCATTGTTTTACTGTCACAAAAATGCAACTGCCACCTTATTCATGTCTCCATGTGCAGAGGAGGAGCTTTGCTAGGGAACATGTCCGGAAGTGATACTCATGGGCACCACTCAATGTGTACTGTGTCGTGGAGTTTGAGGGCATTGGATTCACATCTCTGTATCTATACTGTTCCCCTGTGTTTATATCACTTAATACTGGCAGCCCTTTTTAGTTTTTCCAATCTTAAAAGCAAAAAAGAAATCCCATTATTAATTTCAAGCTTCATCTCCTTGATGACTAACAAGGTCAAGCATATTTTCTTATGTACATGGGTCATTTGTGTGTTTTTTAAAAAATATACTTGTGGATGTAATTTGTCCATTTGCTATAGATTATATATTTTTACTAATCAGGAAAGATAATCTGTATTCCATCTTGTTTTATGCATTGCTAATATACTCTTCTAATAATTTATTTTAACCTTATGTGTTTATGTCTTTTACCCTGTATATCCTTCACATTTTGATGCACTCAGGCCTGTTAATATTTTCCTGTACAGTTGTACATTTTGGATTTTTGATTGTCTGTTTTTTGTATTTTGGAATCATTCCCTGCTACAAGCCATAAGTATATTCCCTGTATTTTTCTAGTAGTTCTTGTGTTGTGTTTTACATATTTAGGTCTTTAACATGTAGGAATATTATTTGAGTATACAGTATATTATAATATTTTTTTAAAATCTTATTGATTCACATGTGTCCCAATGCCATATATATTGAATAGTCCCCCTAGTGACTTGTGATACTTTCTGTATCATATCCCTAATTTTCATATTGATTTTGATTCTACTTCTAGGCTCTGTTCTCTTCCATTGACCTATGTTGGTTACTATATCATTTCCAGCCTGTTTAAATTAACTATATATTTGTAAAGTGTCTTGATAACTGTATGGTGAATTACTATATTCTTTTATAAAATTATCTTATGCTAATTTACTATTCTGTATAAATTTTACCCTCATTAGGATTATGGACTATTGATCATAGGATCAGCATCATATTTATTGAATTAAACAAAAATTATACTCACTGAAAGTAGTATCCTAAGTCATATTTCAGTTTTCTTTTCCTACTCTCCCTTTTTATCCTTTCTTTCTTCCTCCCTTTCTGTCCTTTCTCCCTCCTTTCCTATCATCCTTTTTCCTTTCAAACCATGCTACCGATTTGTCTCTGAATTGGCAATCAACAGCTTCAAAGCAAGTCTGGGTCTTGAAGGTTTCTTTAGGGGTTATGTCACATTTCAAAATTACTTAAAGTCTAATTAATGTTTCCTAAAGTATTTTATAATCCATTTTTTACTCATTTGGGGAACCTAGTAACATGGAGATACTAGTCCCAGGTTCACTGACTCTAAATCAGAGGTTCATTGAGTTATCTCAGAGGATAACTCCTTTCAGGCCCAAAACACATAAACTGTCTGATGTAAATTCATGATTTTTAGTTGGTATCAATATTCATAATTCTTCTAGCAGATGTCAACAGGGCACTGATTACATTTGTGCTCAGAATACAACTTGTTTATGAAGTTGAATTTTTTGAGGTACAACTACACAAATATTAAACGTGTGTTCATAGAAATCTGGAAATGTTCACATTTCTATTACTCTGTAATCTTCTTGTGGAAAGGAAGGTTATTTTATATTTTTGTAAAAAAAATCCAAAAAGCTCACTACTAGATATAAGGGAGTTCTGACAGACTGTTGATTAATTGTGCTTTGAGTAATTTATCACCTGCGAGACAAAGAGAATAACAATTGGAATGAAAGGCCCAAAATCCAATATCTAATTCTCATAAATTGCCACAGTTACCTAAAGAGCATGACATGGGGAATCGATATGGTAGAAACAGGAAATTTAGAATGAAGAATCTCTGAGGGTTTAGGATAGAAATAGCATGGCTTAGGACACTTCTAAAAGGTTCTTATTTACTTATAACCTTCATATGGGAAGACAATGGTATATGGAATCAAACAGCCTGAGTCTACTAATTGCCAATTAAGGGACCAGTACAAGTTCCTTAAGTTATTGAAGTCAGTTTTCTCATTTCTAAAACTTGAATAAAAATATCAGCACCACCTCTGTACCTGCTGATGTGTTTCTGAAGGTCTAAATGTGGAGGCACATTCTAAACAGTCTAACTTCCCCTGTAGCCTGTGCCCTTTAGGAAGGAGTTACAGTGAGGTTCAGGACTGATTCTGTGCATGTCAAATTCAAACCTAGAAACCTCAAATCTTCTCTCTCTTCTCCCGCCTGTGGTCCTGAATGGAATGTGATCTTACTTTTCCCAGAATCCCTGTAGCACTTTGTCTACTAAGAGCTTAACACATTTTCTTATGTATACACAGACTTGCCTTCTATTCCATAAATGAATTTATGGCAAAGACTCATCTTGAGAACCTTCTAAAATGCAGATGTTGGTCCCAGACCCACTGAATCTGAATCCGAGGCCATGTGACACATTGGATAAGACTACAGACAACAGAGCCATATTAACAGAATTGAATCCTACTTCTACTTAATAGCAGTATGACCTTGGCTGAGTCACTTAATCTCTCTGTGACTGAGTATTTAACAGTAAGATAGTAAATGAGTTAATACATAGAAAGATCTAGATGATGTCTGGTACTTTGTAAACACTATGTAAACATTGGCTCATCTATTCTTTTCATTCTTCCCCACATCGAGAAAACATTGTCATAGATTGTAGAGTAACAGAATTTCTGAGGTCTTCATCTAGTATAAGGAGACAAGTAGGTGATAGGTGTGTTGCCATTTCTCTGTCTGTGCCAGTCTTCCCAGTCTGCACAGAGTCCGGTGCCACTACCAGTGGGTTGGAATTACCATCTGAGAAAACACACATTTGCCATTCATGGTGTGTGAGGTGATATGAACTGCTTCTCAAAAGCATGATAATCTAAGAGATGGTGGTATATCTTAATTCTTTTTTAAATTTCCAGTTCTCCCGCCTCAACCAGAAAACATCAAGATCTCCAACATCACAGATTCCTCGGCTGTGGTTTCTTGGACAATACTGGATGGCTATTCTATTTCTTCCATTATCATCCGTTACAAGGTTCAGGGCAAGAATGAAGACCAGCACATCGATGTGAAGATCAAGAATGCCACCATCACTCAGTATCAGCTCAAGGGCCTGGAGCCTGAAACGGCATACCAGGTGGACATCTTTGCTGAGAACAACATTGGGTCAAGCAACCCGTCCTTTTCCCATGAGCTGATGACCCTCCCAGAGTCTCAAGGTAGGTAGAGTGGATCGCATTAGGAAAAAATCCTCAATGGGTTTACCCCATACATGTGTCACAATTCATTTGTCCTAATAGGTTTTATTATCTCTAGATAGGTCCTTAAGATCAAAGTGCACAAGTGAAGGACCCCGTCAGTCCATATTCTATTAAACCTTGAAACAGATTAGCCTAGTGCCATACCCAATCTGACATTCTAAGAATACTCTGAGGAAAAAGAATTTTGATTCTGTGGTGAAAGAAGAGTGAGGAACCTGCTTATGGAAGACAGGCTGATTTGGGCACCTCAGTAGGATCCAAGAACTACCTTCCATTCTTTTTCAAAATGAATTCTCCTTTTGGCTTGGATAATACTATGCTATTCTGAGTTTTCTTCTACTCTTCTAATCCAGGTTATTAGATCTTCATGTCTAACTCCAACCTCACCCCTGCCTTGGGGAGGGTAAGCTCTTCAAGATTGAGAGAGATCCTCCCAGGGTGCCTAGCACATTGTGCCACTGCTTGTGATCATTGAATGTCATCACATGTAGCAGTGTCCCAACGTGGTCCAGCCTGCCACTGAGGGTCTCCTCCAGGTCTGCACATGGCGCCTCCTAGCCCTCTGCAGTGTACAATGTGTGTAAGGGAGCTAGATAATAGGATTTCAGAAGGAAAGATGAATTTTACAAATTTATAATTTGGATTTTAATCTGTTTTTTACAGAAAGTCTTAGAGAACTAAAAATTTCCTGGTTCTCTTAAAGGTTTGCTTATGGCTTAAGATATAAATGAAGCTGTGTTTTCATTTCTGATTCTGGAACAATTTTGAAATGTCCAAGGAATGGTGCATCTGCCAATTGCAGAGAATTATAGTTTTCAGATCACATTCTTAATAAATGTATCATTTTTATAATTACTATGTTTTGGTAAAATGTCTATTGGTACTAAACCCAAGCTATATATAAAGTACAAAGAAAAAATATTTAAAAACAAGAACACAATAAAAATTATCCTCACCTTTCTAGATGTCTTTTCAGGCAGAGTACATAGAAATAGAGGAAGATGAGCACAGATAAATACTTCAATTGGGATCATGATCTATGTGTTGTTATTAATAAAATATATTGAGTTAATTGCATTTAAATTTAAATAAGGGAAAGAAGTAGAAAGATTAGATCAGTCTTTAATAGCTTATTTTGACCCGAGCCTTAAATTAAATTTTTCCCCTCCTATCTTATCCCTCTCTCCCTTCTACCATCTTTCCCTCCTTCCCACCCATGGATATCATCCAGTGTTCTCTCTCAGGTCTTTAAAACAAGGAAAGAAGAAAACTAAACAACTTATACACTCAGCTCTTAGCATCACAGAACATTAAAGCATCCTGGGTGGGGAGATTGAGGCACTCTCTTGAGATCATCCGTCTGGTCAGTCATTCTCACTATTATTCAATATTGTTCATCTACTTGTGACCCTGTTTGGAATTAAAAGTTGAACAAATAGATAATGATTAGCATATTGCTATTTTAGAAGCACACTTTAAATAAAAGGTAACAACCTTGGGGGTCAGACTTATCTTCACTAAATTCCAGAAAATAAAATGATCAGCCCAAGGTCACAGTGGTTCAGTGGCAGGACTAGGGCTTGCTTCACTCCTATTACATGGTGTCTTCTCCCACAGACAGTCTTGGCCCATCTGTCTACCTATCTGACCCATCTGCTTCGCTTCTCTTCTCCTGCACAGCCCCAGCAGACTTGGGCGGAGGGAAGATGCTGCTGATAGCCATCCTTGGCTCCGCTGGAATGACCTGCCTGACGGTGCTGTTGGCCTTTCTGATCATGTTGCAGCTGAAGAAGGCAAATGTTCAAAGGAGAATGGCCCAAGCCTTCCAAAACGTGGTAGTGTCTCATCTTCTTCTTAGCTAATAGGTGCAATTCCACATGTAGACAGGACCTTCACTTTAACGATGTGGAACAGGAGACCTTACTTGCAAAGTAAACAATTCCCATAGGCAAGTCTTATGTTCTCTTTGGCTTCCATTATCAAATGGATATATGTAGCATGACTATTTCTTGTTCAAACCAGAATAATTTTGAGAGTAAAGCAGGCACTCTTAATTATGCAGGAAGCTAGGCCTGAAACAGAGCTGCTCTCCATTCCTTCCCAAAATGAGAGGACTGATTGTCCTAGTGATAAGTTACTTGAGGGAACAATTTTGCAGTAGGATGAGTTGAACATTCTGGGTAAGGAAGGACATGAGCGTAACCAGACCTTACTCAGTGTGACAGGAAATGATGTACTGTCCTAGACAGGTCTCCCCACATGTTCCTATTCTTAGTTCCCATTCCCTCTTCTAACATATCCCTCAATCCCATCATCCCTCACATTTATAAGAATCATACACGTATGCATGCCTCCCATTCCTGTGAACACTCAGCCTGCACTCGGTTTGTAGCACCTGGTGCTGCCTTGTTATTTATCTAGGAATTTTGACCTATAGCAAAGATCTGCCAGGTCATGCTTTACCAATAGCCATTCCACGTGAGTCTTTTATTTATTTATTGGTATATTAAAACCTAGACATTTCTCTAGTTTATGATTTCAAGCTGGGTAAAATTACTTGGTATCTGACTTTATCAGTTCTGTACATAAAACAAGTATAATGCCATGTTTGAAATGAGGTATTCCTTTATGAGCCAGAGTCCCCAAGGTTCCCCTCCATGGAGGTCAGGGGAACTGCACTGTTGACTGCATGCCAGAGCTGGCTCAACTCTGGCTGTCACTGGAAAGAAAAGACCAAGGGGGTTGGAGTTCTGCAGCTTGTCATGATATCAGTGCTTTGTTAGGATACTGTCAGGAGCCATTTGGATTCAAGAGAATAAGAGACCATGCTGGGTTTTGCTGTAACCATTATCTGTCCTGAGGCTTAAGAGATTCTAAACTTTTGGATAAGAGAGAATGAGAGTGCCAAGAATAGACCAGGACCAAGATGATGCTAGGAGGGCTCTCATATTCAGTGCCTGTTCCATATAAGATTCCCAGGTTATTTTCCACACCAGAACTGAACACTCATGGCAGAGTAGAAAATTCAAGTGTGACCAAATTGGGAATGACCAACCCATGGCATGCATAGCTATTCTGTCCTTTCTTGGCTTTTGAGGGCATGGCTAATTGACATGCTTTTCCACTGAGGCCCAGACTTAAACCCACGTAGTGGCTTCTTCAGAGTGGCCTGTGAGATGAAACCAGTTTCCACTTCCATTCTAGAACTAGATATACTGTTTCTTTTTTCACATGGTGTGGATACAAATCAGAAGGCATTCACCTTAGAATAGTACAAAAACAATTTAAAAAAATTATTTTTCCAGCGGGAAGAACCAGCTGTGCAGTTCAACTCAGGAACTCTGGCTCTGAACAGGAAGGCCAAAAACAACCCGGATCCCACAATTTATCCAGTGCTTGACTGGAATGACATCAAATTTCAAGACGTGATTGGGGAGGGCAACTTTGGCCAGGTCCTTAAGGCGCGCATCAAGAAGGATGGGTTACGGATGGACGCTGCCATCAAGAGAATGAAAGGTCAGTGGTTACACAGATAGTCAGCATTTCAGCAGGGTGGGGAGACAACTTGATTTCCTGTTGAAGTTTTTCCGCTATGCCCTTACATATTTTTGAACCAAAAATTGGCCTGTCAGCTGTGCCTGCAGTGTGCAGCTGAAGATGATGCTTCCTTTGAGATGCAGCCTGTGATAGTATCAGGAGGCAGATGTGAAGGTGGGAGTCATTCAACACCAGTGTCATGATTCCTGGGAATTTGGAAACACTGATTCTCTGTCATATTCTGCTAAATTTTGGGGCACGTCATTATTTATCATAATGGATTGGTTTCAAAATTGAGCATGCATCAGAATCACCTAGAAGGTTTATTTAAAATCACTCTGATGAGCCAATTGAAGTGGCACATGGCTATCATTTTAGCAACTCAGGAGACAAGGGCAGGAGGATTCCAAGTTCAAGTCTAGCCTTAGCAACTTAGCAACACCCTAATCTCAAAATAAAAAATAAAAAAGGTTGAAGATGCAGCTCAGTAGTAACGTGCCCCTGGGTTCAATCCCAACTACTGCAAAAACAAAGAAAAATACAAACAAAACAAAACAAAACCCCCCAAAATTGTTGGGCTGCATCTGGGGCAGGGACAAAGAATTTGGATCTCATAATTCCTAAATGATGCTTCTCCTGTTTGGTGACTATACTTTTTTTTTTATTTCTTACATACATGACAATAGTGGAGTGCATTACATTTGGAAACTATACTTTTTTGAATAACAATCTCCATGGGTTTTCTGTACCAAAATGTCTGGAGACATTGTTAGAAATGCATCCACTTGACCTTCCCATACCCAATTCATTCAAGTTTTTTGAATGAATATGAGACTCTGTTCTAAACAGGCTTACTCAGTAGTTCTTACAGCAAGGCATGGTGGTACATGCTAGTAATCTCAGTGATTTAGGAGGCTGAAGCAGGAGGATTGCAAGGTGGAAGCCAATCTGGGAAACTGTGTCAAAGTAAAAAACAAAAAGGGTTGGGGATGCAGCTCAGAAGTAGAAAGGGCCCCTGGATTCAATCTCCAGTAACCACCCCTTCACTTCCACCAAGTTCTTCTGCATACTCAAGTGTAAAAGCACTGATATAAAGCCATAAGAACTAAATCCTTTCTAACAGCATCCATCTCAAGACTGTTTGTACCTACCTGTTAATAAGATGGGATAATAAGTATTGAGGAAGCAGAATGTCTGGCTTACTGGCAGCACAGCTGCCTTCTGTGTGAAGTGGCAGTTTCTGCAGGACTTAACTGTGGAGCTGCCTATTGATTTTACAGCCTGTGTGTCCAAAAAAATGGTCCCTTAGAGCAGAAAATGTGATTAACTGTGGTGTTGTGCAGTTCTATGTTGGGGACTCTCTAAGGTCACTGAGGGCTTTCCTTCTTTTAGACTGCAATATAGAACCCAAGATGAGAATTAATTCTAGAGCTTCTTAAATTATCTGCTTTCTGCATTGTTAAGAAGACCACATCAAGAAACAAAACATTACCTATGCTTAGAGATAGTAATGTATTTCTTTTAAAAATACAAACACACCAAAAAAAAAAAAAAAAAACAACCTTAATAGCCAGAAATTTTTCTTCTGTTCTGTTACTTTAGTCATGGAGAATTTGTGTAAATGGTGAGAGGAGACAGGGTGCAGAATCACATGAAGTCAGTTTGTACTGGGATATGACCCAAGCCTGATTTTCCATCTTATACCCATATGAAGAGGTAAAATAGCTTAATGAGGCAGCAGGAGCAATGCATCCAAGGGTGGTTACTGAAGCAAGAGCAAAATTTTCCTAAGACATTGACTCTCTGGGCCAGAGCCACGGTGAGGCTCCTGTGGCTGTGAACAGGGCACTGGACTTGAAATTTCTTGTCAGTTTTATAGGTATCACTAGCCCACCTAAAATGTCACTGCAATTTCTCAGCACATTCAACCATACAGACAGCCACCTGCAGTCTCCCCATCCCCTACCATGTAATTTTTCCAAAATCAGTAATAATAGCACCCTGTCCTACACTCAAGTCTGATGGGTCAGTTCATACACCAACCATGCTGGTGGTTTTCCCTCTGGCCAACGTGTGTTGAAAAGACAGGGCAAAAAGAATAGAAAAAAAAAAATGCAGCTCAGTTTCGTGACTACAGGAATGCCTATAAAATGTCATTGGGATTTGATTTGTTTAGCAAGACTGGTTTGTTAAAAAGTTAAAATTATTAAAGTAAAGCAAGTGCATTGTTGGTGATGTTTCACCAAAAATTTGGTTCTCTTCCTTAGCTTTTTGTCTCTAGAAGGCAGATTTAGCTGGAAGAGCTAAAATCTAAACATTGTGTCAGCTCTACCTCTACTGAGTTATTTCATTGAGTATTTGAGAGTTAATCAAGAAAACTTTATAGAGTAGTGGTTCTTATTCAGGTGCAATTTTTTCCCCTGAGTGCCATTTGGCAATGTCTTGTACATTTTTGGTTGGGCTACTGGAATTTAGGGGGTGGAGGTCTGGGTGCTGATAAACATCCTGCAATGCACAGGACAGCCCCTAATGGCAGAAAATTGTCAGCCCTCGGCTGAGGCTGAGAAGCTCTACTTTAGAGCATCTCTTTGTGGGTACAGTTTTCCAGACCTGATGGTGACTGAGTGCACCTGAAGGTCCTGGGGAGCAAGAGGAGACAGTTACATCTGAAAAGGTTCAGTGAAGAAGGATCACAACCCTTGACTTCCTTCCCAGAATATGCCTCCAAAGATGACCACAGGGACTTTGCGGGAGAACTAGAGGTGCTTTGTAAACTTGGACATCATCCAAACATCATCAATCTCTTGGGAGCATGTGAACATCGAGGTAAGGTGCTTTTTTCTTGTTTTTCCTGCCAGGCTATTTTTTTTTTTTTTGTAAATAGGCACATTCCACACTGAAACTAAGAAAAAGAATAATCTTAAGAAGTTTACCTATTAAGTTGCAGTTTCAATTGAATTCTAGTCCTATTAATGGATTGAGCCATGGTTTGCCATCTTTTTTTTTTAATTGTAAAGCTTTATTAAGAAAATTTGACAAGTCAAATTTTCGATACAACAACAACATGTAGGACTTCAGCTTGTCTTCTTTTTGACTTATGATTGTACATCATCTGTTTCCAGAAATTTAACACTCTCTAGGAGAGGTGGAATCTTCTCTTTCACATCAGGGGTCATTTCTACCCTCACCTACAGTCCTTTTCCAGGCAACCAACATCAAGTTCAAGTTATTCTTCAATTTCAACCACAACTGTTTCTTTTTCTTCTCCTTCTCCTTCTGACTCTTAAATTGGTGGTGGTTCCTCTTGAGGTGTATATATTTTTAATCATTGTGCTTTAGAGCAATCACAGGTTTAATTGGGCTGGAAGATTCTTGACCATCCAGATTCTTGACCATCTCCTCTTCTTATGGATCTGGATCTTACTCATATACTGAGTTCACACTGAAACTAGAAATTGTACACTGAAGACTTCCAGGTTGCTAGGTGATAACAGACAATCAGACACAAGGTCAAGAAGGGAATTCATGTGGTGGCTATAGCTGAAAAACATAGAATGTGAGGTTAACTGCACCTGCCAATCCCAATTCTAGGCTAGTTTGCCATCTTTTGTGGAGAGGTGCTGAGGCTGGATCATTTGGCCTCTGCAGTGGTCTATTACTGCCCAAAGTTTTCCACAGCTCCTACCAGCCCCATCCTCACAAACCTAGGGGTGTTCTCAACTACTATTACTACTAGGGGGGAGTAGGGTACCGTCACCAGCTGAAAGAGTGCCATGCACAGGTTCTTCTTGTCTGTTTTTTCATTGTTCTTAGAACCCAAGAAAATTGGTAATCTGAATGTTAACACCATGAATACCAATAATGTGGTGTAATATGAAAGCATTGGTGATACTTAGATTAAATAATGACAATAATAATGATAATAAGCAGCTTATATATGATATTCTTTGTATCCAAAGGGTGTTCATGTTCAATTAGATTGGAGCTTTACAACTATTCTGCATAACACTTTCAAACTTACATTGTGAACTCAAATATTTATTGAGTACTTGCTATTGTGATGTGTGATGAGCTATGGATGAGTAGATTACAATAAAAATCTGAGTTCACCCCTGCATGCTGCATAGGTTTGTAATTCTGAATTTATGCTTAAACTGATTTCCTCATGGAAAAGTTTACTTCCACAGAAAAGCTCCATGCAGTGATTTATAAACTTGACAACCTCTTGTTGGCTTTGCAGCACAAACACCAACAATAGAAAAGTGACTACTTCTATTTCCTCAATTTATTAAACTAAAAATATTAGTACTTTCAACAGTATATCATTTTATGATCTAATAAGGGTGTAATTCTGGAAGCCAGATCATGTCCCTTAGTTACATAATGAAGTAATAACATTTATTTTTGAGTGACTTCCTGAAAACAATAATCAGTGTGGGATTGCAGTGAGTTAAAAAGAAAATCACATCAACAACTGAGAAAAAAATATGTGTCTTAAAATTTTGCTCTATCATCATATTAGCACATAATTCTTTGGCTCCTAAAATTTATAATTCACTAAAGATGTGAGAAAGCATATTCATACCAGAATTTAATTCTATCTTTCCTGATAATACAACAGAATTCAAATTTAGAAGATTTCTTTTTTTGTCAGAATTTTGATTTCTTAGAATAGTTTTGAAGTTCATATTCATTTGACATTTAAAATTGTTTATCAAAATAAAACCTCCTTATAAAAAATACACCAGCAAAATTGCTTTAGATTTCACTGGCTTTAAAGAGCAAAAATTTTATCAAAGCAAAAAAAGGAGGGGGAGATGGGAAACCCTTGGAATTAAAATTTAGATTATGGACCATAATTTTTTCTAGGAACTATTGTTTTATTTTTCCTAGTTGGGTTTTTTTCTGGTTTCTTTATGCAACATACAAATTTTGAAACAATATTCTGCTGGCCAGTGGCCTAAATCAGCAAAATGGTGACTTAGGGTTTTGAATGAGTAGAAGGCAGGGGAGAATGCGTGGGTCCTTCCACTGTGAGTATCTAATCGTTTTTAATAACCTTAAGGAAAGCTAGAGACAGGCTGGAATAACATACCTGACACATAATAAGTTCTTTACGAATAATTAAAGGTGACTTGAAGAGAATATTCTTGATGTGGAAAAGGATGCTTTGAGTTCATTCTACTCATATTCCCCAGTGGGTGAAAGCACCTCTGGGTGGTACATTAGTTCACATTGGTAGGAATGGAGAGGAGAGTCGGGGAGAGAAATGCCATGAGTTCTGGCTGCCGGCTTAGAGTACTGTAGGAGGAAGCCACTTATAGTCCCTCATGTCCCTAGCATTAGTAGCTTGGTAGCACTGGATGTGTTTCTTTTGTGTGTTTGTTTGTTTAACCCTTTATTTTACATTTGTTCCAATTAGTTATACGTGACAGTAGGATGCATTTTGACACATCATACATAAATGGGGTATAAGTTCTCATTCTTCTGGTTGTTCATGATGTAGAATCACACCAGTCATGTGGTCATATATGCACATGTCTGATTCATTCTATTATCCTATGTACTGTCTACTATCCTCCTGACCCCCTTACCCCACCACTCCCTTCTGCCTAATCCAAAGTAACTCTATTCTCTCTAGCCGCCCCCCCCACCCCCAATGTGAATTAGCATCCGCCTATCAGAGGAAACATTCTGCCTTTGGTGTTGGGGATGGCTGATTTCGCTGAGCAAGACATTCTCAAGCTCTATCCATTTGGGGGGAAATGCCATCGTGTTTCCATTAGACAGAAGGGAGTTTGTAAGCAGTTGCCAAGGCCCATAGTACATCTCCCAAATTTCACAACTGTTCAGCTGATGATGCAGCAATGCCCTGGTCCTTTCCCCACAGGCTACTTGTACCTGGCCATCGAGTACGCCCCCCACGGAAACCTCCTGGACTTTCTGCGCAAGAGCCGCGTGCTGGAGACAGACCCTGCATTCGCCATCGCCAACAGCACCGCTTCCACGCTGTCTTCCCAGCAGCTGCTTCATTTTGCTGCAGACGTGGCCCGGGGCATGGACTACTTGAGCCAAAAGCAGGTTTGCTCTGAGGACCCTGCTCTGGGCATCTTTCCTCTGGAGTCAGGGCTTTCGTGTTTTGCATGATTTTTCTGTCAACCTTTCAATCCCTTCTTACAGTCTCCCTAATTTTATTTTGTTAATATCCCATCTGTTAGTATACAATTCAATGCCCAATAATGACAGTTATTTATCTAGTACATTTCATAATATGTATTTGGTGAGAATCCTTAAATCTTATTTTCGTTTGCCTCTAAATAATGCACAATAGCAAAGGGCACTACATTGTAACTAGAACTTTTAATGACCTGTACTTTTTTTTTTTTTCTGAAATGCTTCTCCCAGGCTGTGGTAGGGTCATTTGGCACAATATACTATCTGAGACTTTTGGAGAGGTACTTTAAGGGAACTGTATTCTGGTGACTTTTTAAAAATCTCTTTTCATATTATTATTTCTTCTCTGTTTCTTAAACTGGCCCCCAGGGCTTTGTGTTAACATAAGTTAGTGGAAAAGCAAGTATTATGCTGAAAATACATGCTTTTTGTTTGTTTGTTTCAGTTTATCCACAGAGATCTGGCTGCCAGGAACATTTTAGTAGGTGAAAACTACGTAGCCAAAATAGCAGATTTTGGATTGTCCCGAGGTCAAGAAGTATATGTGAAAAAGACGATGGTGAGTTCAGGATAGACGCTGATAACCAACATACTTCCCAAGGACCCTCCTTCTCCTCATGGCACTTCTCTTAGAACTCCAGTGCTCTGTGGTGACTGAAATAGGACTGTATCTTGGCAAATGTTGCCTGGCCCAGCAAGCAATCTCTCAAGTTTTGGTTCCTAAGATGATATGGTCTCCATATGGTCAATGATGGACACACTGTCTCATGTGACTATGTAATTGAACATTCAGACCTTATGATTCAGGCAGAGTGTCTTGTCTGTATTCAGTCTAGAACCTTCAATGTCTTTGTCTCAACTCTCTGAGGAGCTCTGACAATCTCTTCATGAACAGCAAATATCTCAGAGAAACAAAAACTAACTTCTCCCAAATCAAGGAAATATATTTAATGGGTTCCTAAATCATAAAGAGACCCTGTAGGAAATTTGTAATTTTTTTGTGTGTGTGATACTGGAGATTGAACCCAGGGGTGCTCTACCACTGAGCTACATTCCAGCCCTTTTTATTCTTTATGGCTGTCTATTTTCTAGGTCAGAAAAATTACTTAGGCTCAGTTTCCCTGATATTGCTCCAGTCGTCAAGTGAAATAGAAGGTCTTTTTGCTTGGTAGGCACCAAATTACCTCTTAGCCAGGCTTGAGTCCTGCATTTATCCTCAAATCCAGGTTTCCTTTTTTCTTAATGTATTTATTTTGGGTACTAACAAGATAAACAAGAAACAATACTTGAAGCATTTTTTTTAAAGGAAGGCACCCATAATTCACTACCTTGACAGCTTTTTATTTTGGGGTTATTCTTTCCACAGTATACCTATTTTTATATAGTCGAAAGCTAGTGAACATAATCATTTTGGATCTTTTTTTTTTTTTGATGAGGGCTTGAAATGGGGTCCCGCTGGCCCTACCCATGGCCCTGCAGTCTTATTACCAGCACTTTCAGAAGCCACAGACACCCCACTGAGGGCTGACTTCCAGACAGTCCTTTCTTTCCAGGGCTATGCAGACTGACCCACTCAATGCAGGTGTTCCTCTGTAAAGAAAGCAGGCCCCATCACTGGACAGTCTAGCCCTCCCAACTCCTATCTCCTTCACAGAATTACTTGCTGCTTCACTCTGGCATTTGGGGGTTGTGGCATCCCAAATGAGGGAATGGAGGGGTTTATACAAGTCCAGTGATGGTTGCTCCATAGACTACATGTTTGGATGCTCTCAGATTCCTAAGACTAACCCTTGTTTGCTTGGAGTTTCATAAAGGACAAGGATTTCTTGGAGAGCTTAGGGATGCTGAGAGGGGCAGAGAATGATCAGGGCCCAACTCTGTTTCATAAGAGAAGAGTATTGTGTTCAGTGGCAGCATGGGACTGGGCAAGGGGAAAAGAAAGGAGAAAAGAGTAGAGAGGTATAAGCTCTTTGCAAGGATGGTGCAGTGCAGCAAGGCACCACTAGAGGGCAGACTGCCTATCTTCTCTGGTCTAATTTTTCTTTGTAATTTTTTTATTTGTATATGACAGCTGAATGGATTACAATTCTTATTACACATATAGAGCATAATTTTTCATAGCTCTGGTAATATACAAAGTATATGCACACCAATTCGTGTCTTCATAGATGTTCTGTGGATAATAATGTCCATCATATTCCACAATCATTTCTAACCCCATGCCCCCTCCATTCTCCTCTCATCCCTCTGCCCTATCTAGAGTTCATCTATTCCTCCCATGCTCCCCCTCCCTACCCCACCATGAATCAGCCTCCTATATCAGAGAAAACATTTGGCATTTGGTTTTTTGGGATTGGCTGACTTAACTTAGCATTATCTTCTCTAACTTCATCCATTTACCTACAAATTTCATGATTTTATTCTCTTTTATTTCTGAGTAATATTCCATTGTGTATATATGCCACATTTTTATCCATTCATATACAGTCAATCAATAAATATATAAAAATGTTCATCATCACTAGCAATTAGAGAAATGCAAATCAAAACTACTCTAAGATTTCATCTCACTCCAGTCAGAATGGCAGCTATAATGAAGACAAACATCAATAAGTGTTGGGGAAGATGTGGGGGGAAAGGCACACTCATACACTGCTGGTGGGACTGCAAATTGGTGCAGCCAATATGGAAAGCAGTGTGGAGATTTCTTGGAAAATTGGGAATGGAACCACCATTTGACCCAGCTATCCCTCTCCTTGGTCTATACCCAAAGGACTTAAAAACAGCATACTACAGGGATACAGTCGTATCAATGTTTATAGCAGTGTAATTCACAATAGCTAAACTCTGGTCCAATTTTTAAATTGGGGTTCCAACTTTCACTGCACCTTGGAATTATCTGAGGAGCTTTAAAAAAGTACAGATGTTGAGTCCTACCATCTAGATACTTTTGATACCAGTGGTCCTGCATTAGTTTGGGCTTTTGTTAAATCCTCTTAGAGTATTCTACTATAAAAAGTGTTGCCACAAACTCCTGTACTAAGTGATTTAAAATTTTACCATCATCCCTCATCATTGATTTATTTAGTACCATGATGTCTCATGCTTTATGCTAGGTTTGGGGGTAACATATATTAGAGACAGACTCCACTTTTGGAGAGCTCACACATAGACATACAACTAGCAATTTTAGTAGTCGATGAATGCTAAGGGTGAGGAAATCACACATGCCGTGGGGGCCGGAGAGGTGCACTGAACCAAGACTGAGGGCAGTCAGAGAGGGCTTCCTGGAGGAGGTCAAAACCTGAGTTTAACAGTAAATGTCGAATAGATACTGGATATGAAAATGAGTCAGCTGAGCTGGAGGTACACATATACAAAAAGTACAGAGTGAAAGGAGAGCCCAAGAGACCTTTAGAAATCCAGTAATTCAACAAAGCTGGAGAGTACTGCTGAAACAGGAGCAGGGTTACAGGGTCTCTGAATTCCAGCTAAGCATTTGGGAACTTGGGACAGGGATATTAAGAAATTTTAAGGAAAAGAACCATGTGGTTAGAGTTGCTGTTTAAATGTCCTGTGTGGAGGACAGACTATTAGAGTGAGGTCAGTTAGGCACAGAGGTCAGTGAACAAGCGGCTGTCATGAGGTGGTGGATGATGGTGGCCTGAACCAAGGTGGTAACTATAGGGACAGATCCAACTGGAGTAAAAAGAAAAACAAAAAGTGCACATGGAACTTGGTAACTGGGAGTTGTGAGGTTAGAAGAGTCAGCAGGCTGGAAGTTAGTGAGTCCTAAGACACAGTCAGAGTGGGCTTCACCTTCCATCCTTAGCCATGTCAGGGAAGAGAGCTGGAGTAACAGGTGGGAGACAGGGTGAGGTGGATGCAGAGTGAATGAGGGTGTGAGTATGAGAATATTAAAGGTGTAGATGTGGGAAAGGACACTTTGATGTTTGAATATAAAAGTACAGAAGTACCTTTTGGGATTTATAATCATATATGTATGCTTCTGAAAATTGTCACTCCACGTGGAACTGGGAGAAGACGGCACATTGAGGAATCATCCTTGGGATGGGGGTGAGGTGGTTGCATGGATGAGTGGCCTGGGAGCATGCCTGCTGGGCAGTGCTGAGAAACATGCTCTAGTACTCCTGGGTTTGCCCTGCTACCGGCTAATGTAGCTGAAGTGCAGCTGATAAAGTTTGGACAAAACTCTGGAAGTGAGAGATGATCTGTCAGTGGCAAATCATATGATTCCTGGGGTGGGTGGATGGGAAAAGAGCTACAAATCATATAGAATTTGAGGAAATGGAAAAAAAAAGTCTGAAACCAAGCTTCACAATGTCTAGTGCACATCTCATTTTGCCTATGGAGACTCAATGAGCCAAAAAAATGGGAGTAACTGGAGTGAGGGCCAGGCACCCAAAGGGTGAGTGTGTGTCTTTGTCTCATTTCCAAACACAATGTAAATTGCACTGGCTAGAAATTATCTCAGCCTCTGTTGATACATATGCATCCTGTTCCCCGAGACCTGAAATGCTCTTTCCTCCTCATATATTGGATGATGCCTATACATCTTAAAGAATAGGGCTCAGGTGTCTCCTCCTCTGGAAAATGCAATCCTTCATGGCCTCCAAGCATGGTCTTCCACCCCACCCCAGTGTTCCCTTTACCCTTTCCCACATTCCAATTCTCAGTTTCTACACCTGTTGCCTCTTCAAGTCACTGGATGGTCTTGAAAACCACAAGGTAAATGGTCAAATATGTGTCAATGTGCATATCCACAAATTCATGTACAGTTGTTACAGGGGCCCTCTGAGGTAAGTGAAGCACTATTTGCACATTTTTGAATTTGAAAACATGCTTGTGGCTGGGATATTCATAAAGCAAAGATTCCTGAGTCTGCCGTGCCTTAGGTCTGCTGAGCACCACACAGGGTTCTCTATGGGCCTTGAGTAAGACACAGGCCCAGCACAGAACTTCTGAAGGGTCCCTGCCCTGTCTGAGTGACCTCTCCCTTTCTTCTGTACAGGGAAGGCTCCCAGTGCGCTGGATGGCAATCGAGTCCCTAAATTACAGCGTGTACACAACCAACAGTGATGTGTGAGTAATCTTCTTATTGCTAAGGGATTTTTTCCCCCCAAGAAAAAATCAACATCTAACAGGCTTAAAAGAGAAGCAGGAATATCCTATACTTCTGTGGAGAAAATATAGAATAAATGAAGCCACAGAACAGTTTCCAGAGTGTAAAATCACTGACAGCAGGTTTGGGGGCTCCTTTGCTTCAAGTTGTGTCCTTGTGATCTCTAGAGGAAGGGCATATGATCCTGCCTCTGACGCCCCTTCCTGGACCTAGCTCTGAGGACACAGCCCAGAATAGTTGCTGGTGAGCACAGGTGGTGGCATAGTAGGGCCATGTCTGCCTGCAGTGACAAGTCTTAGGCTGGCAGTGGTCAAAAGGATTGGGATTGAGACTGGACCATCTTGTCTTGCACCCCATTTTCAGAAGGAAAAGCTGAGGCCCAGAGGGTGACTTGTTTCAGAGGTTTTGCTTATGCCTACGTTGGGGACTGGCAGCTACTATATCCTCACTTGCAAGGTCCCTTTCATATATTATCTCTGCATAATTCTGAAGCAGTGATTGGTCTCCCCACTTTCATAAAAATATGCTAAGATATTCTGATCCGCACAATTGCAGAGACAGAATTCTCTCACTGCTGGTCATCTAACTCTGGAAAGTGTAACTCTTACACCTTGAAGAAGTGAGCAAAGACATGGCCACATTTCCCAGGAGCTGAGGTGGTCTTTATCCTTTCCTCAGAGGGCAATTGGCTCCTTTAAAAAAAAATCCTTTCTATCTGTTGGGTACAACAATTAGCAATAGTTGTGAACTAATGGCAAAAATAAATAAACAAATAAATTAAATGAAATATTCATTTACCAGCCCTCAGTTGTGTTTGCACGAGGGGCCTTTGAGATAAAGGACTGGGTTTCACTTGGTCAATTCGCCCCGAGTGCTGAGTCTTGAGTGACTGTTGGGTGACTGTTTTCCATCTCTGTTGTAGATCTGCCCCCTCAGCATTGTTATATATATTTTTTCTCCTCCAGCCACACAGTAATGCAGTTTCTAGACAATCTGCAATAACAAAAGGGTAAAAATCTGTATTTCATAGTTGTATAGAATAAAACTTTAGTTAAAATATTTCATATATATATATATATATATATATATATATATATATATATATATACACACATACATACATATATACACACACATACATATATACACACACACACACACATATATACACACACATACACACTCACTAAGAGGCTACCAAATGTTCAGTAGTTTGGCCTGGGTCATAGGAGTATTAGGTGGCAGAGAGGGGATTTGACTCAGACCCAACTGGCTTAGAATTTTCCTCGTTTTTCACAGTACTACTTTGCATTTCCTACTTAAAGTAATTTAAGGGTTTTGGCAAAGTGAGCCCATTTCCCTGTTATACCCTTCCATTGGCCTACAAGGAGCCCACACTGTGTGCAGGGCCACATTCCAGGAAGCAGACATTTTACATTTCTCTGTTTGAGAAAGGATGGATCACCCTGACCTTTGGGGGCAGGAAGTGGAGTGGCCAAACTATTTGCTGATTAAAGGTTTTTGCATTCTTCCCTCCTGCAGATGGTCCTATGGTGTGTTGCTATGGGAGATCGTGAGCTTAGGTGAGTATGTTTCCCTACCAAGTGATACTGGGCAAAGGGAGGGGACCCTCCAGCACTGCCTAATAATTCCACAGGTCACTGTTTGTGTGTGGTGCTAGGATGTAACTGGGAAATACAACCTTACAGGTTTCCACAAAGTATAGTTATTCTCATGCTTCTCTTTTTGAAAGCCATACACCTAACATATGGAATACTATTGACATAGTGGCCAGGAACTTCATAGGTTGTTTCTGCTTGTGCAAGGGTATCAGAATTGTTTACTTCTACAATTTTATACTTAACTGTTCAAGAAAACTAAGGCATTACACAGAAAAAATAATAAGAACCATTATGATTTTTCCCTTATTTTTGTATCCCAAGTTTTTCTATATTAATCTTATAATTAAAAATGTACAATAGCTATTATTGATAAAATAGGAATTCCATAACTACTGACTTTCTAGTTAGAAAAATCCTGTGGGCACAGCAGCTGTTCTTCATATAGGCAGACTTAGGGAAGAAAAATAGCTCAGTCAGTAATAGGGCTTCCCCTGAAGGAATGGTCGCACCTCGGTGCACTCTTGCTTTGCAAGTCCAGCCTGGTGCAGAGCAGGTGTTCACCTCGCTGATAGCCTGTCTCCCTCCTCACCTCTTGGCTTTGGGTCAGGATGCACTGCCTGCTATGCCTGAGGGACTCAAAGCTACACCACTTTATCTTTCAGGTGGCACCCCCTACTGTGGGATGACTTGTGCAGAACTCTATGAGAAGCTGCCCCAGGGTTACAGGCTGGAGAAGCCCCTGAACTGTGACGACGAGGTGTAAGTCAGGCCTCACCCTGAGGGCTGCTCTATCTCAACCTTCCTCCTGTGCAGCTTGGACAGGTCCACCCTAATGAAGAAGTCACTGATACCTACACACCCATCAACACACACTGCATAGAGACCCCAGAGAGCTGAAGAAAAGGAGTACTTCTATACTAAGACCTTTACATAATGGAGAGGCAGGAGTAGTTTTCCAAGCATAGAAATCTAGGAGGATTTTAAGGTATGAATCTTGCCAAGACTGAAATGAGGAAGGACAACATCTGAAATAAATGCATAGAATTTTTTAATGTTGCATGGAGATTTCAGAGGCTCTAGATTGAACAAGTAATTTATTGTCCAGACTATGCCACTTTGTGAGAATGAAAACTATTAATAATAGCATACATGTAAGCCATAGGGGCAAACCTGGATGTACTTGGACCATTAGTAGACAAAGTTCCTCAGATATCACTTTGTGAGAGTCATTCCATAGGAGATTAACTCCCATCATTAAGAAATGAGTTACAAAAAAAAAAAAAAGAAAAAAGAAATGTGTTACAGTAAAATCATTCTAGTATCTGTAACTGACTGATAGTTGATAGCCTTTTGTGTACCTAAGATTTCCTCAAGGCATTTATTCAGTATGTGGGGTCTTGGGCCCACTCCTAGACATGCTGCTTCTGTACGTCTAGGGCATGTCCCAGAGAGCTGCATAACACAAGAGGTTCTGACCACAGAGAGCACATCTTCTAGTGTCTTGCAAGAAATAAATAATACAAGGGGAAGGGAGCTCTGTGGTCAGGCAAGCTGAGAGGGCTTCATGTTAAGCCTGGTGTCAGTTCAGGCTGCTATAGCAAAGTACCATAAACTGCATGGTTTATAAGCCAAAACATATTTCTTACCATTCTGAAGGCTGGGATCCAAGATCAAGGTGCCAGTGGATTTGGTGTCTGGTGTCTGTGAACCGTTTCCTGGTTCTGAGGTGACTGCCCAACATTTAGTCCATCACACCTAATTAAACAGGCCTTTATTATTGTGATAGACATTTATTTAAACTAATATACATGCAGACCAAATGATTTTTAAATTGTGTGCTTCAGGCTTAACCAATTTTGTAAAAATACTACGAGGACTGTTATGTCCACAGATTTCAACCACACGATTACTGCTTTTTTCCAGTCTTCTTTCCTGAATGACCTCTTTGATATTATCCTCTTCCTATTTTTGTTCCCTGCTCTTTAGGCAAGATCTGATGCCTCATGGTCTGGTCCAGGGCTCTCTTGATGCAAAACACCCTGTCATTCTAAAGGTCCTCAGGAAGCCTTCTATGGCTTCTTTTACATTGTATCATCTTGCATTAACCCCAGCTTATTAAATCCTGTAGCATTATAATACCATTTGTGAATACCATCCAGCCACCATCCTGATGCTGCCACAGCAGGCCTGCTTGCCATTTTGACCCTGGAGCCTTTTGTTTTTAATGACAGGGCTTCTGAGAGTCTTGCCTCTAAGAGGAAGATGCCAGGGTAGCATTTTACAAGACACACTCCCATTCTGAGAGGTAGTATTCTAAGAGAAATGCTGCTCCACACATAGAACAGTTCATTCTGGATGATCCGAATAGTGGAAACCAAGATCCTGCAGGAATAGCACTCAGGGTGGAGGAGAAGGGATGTGGATAGAGAGCCAGGAAGCCTAGTGGAAACTTCCGGGTGCTGTGCTCTCATCTTCTGCTAATTCTCTTTCCTCTCTTCCTGCCCCACACTAAGACACACCCAGGACTGAAGCACAGAGTTAACCCTTAAACTTCTTGTTCTCAAAGGTATGATCTAATGAGACAATGCTGGCGGGAGAAGCCCTACGAGAGGCCTTCATTTGCCCAGATATTGGTGTCCTTAAACAGAATGTTAGAAGAACGAAAGGTGAGTGGACACTTTGAAGCAGGAACTCTTTAATTGGAGTTCCTGAAGCACCGAGGGCGATTCATCAAAAATCACGGATACGATTTTAACGAGTTCTTAGATAATATAGGGATATAAAGGATGTGCCCCCCAATTCCAAGGAAGTTACAATTAGAGGGAAATAAATTTGTGTACAAGATAAAGTCATATACAGGCTAGAACGACACACAGACTTACCCTATTGGGGCTAGAAAGAATCTTGGGCCTATATGCTGACCCTTTAATTTTGTAGGCGAAAAAACACACTCAGGTAAAAGTAACTTGCTGAATGACACTCAGCAAGTAGATAATCAAGTCTAGATTACAGGTTACTAAAGGGAGGATCAGGAATCCTATCAATATTTTTAAAAGGTAGTTGTCTGTTGAGCCCCAGATTGATACAGCTAAGTAAATCTAGGAAACAGATTTTGGCTTCACCAAAGCCCGAGTGGTAATTTAACCAGTAATATGGGTAAGATCACTCCTGGGACACATGAACAGAGCAAGAAGCCCCAGAGAACTTATTTCAGGGGGAGCATTGAGAAATCATGAGAAACAGAAGCTCAAAGACTAAGGACAGGAAGCATACGACATCCACTTTCAGGAAAAAAGTCAAATACAATAGAGAGATTGAGGACAGGAAAGTGTCCCTAAAGATCTAGGATGTGAATTGAAACAAGCAAAGAAAACTAGGGTATCATCGTTACTGCCCCTGCAGAGGCAGAGCTGAGGCTGCCTGTGTCTGAACCAATCTTGCTCTTCCAGACCTACGTGAACACCACGCTTTATGAGAAGTTTACCTATGCGGGCATCGACTGCTCTGCTGAGGAAGCAGCCTAGGACAGAACATTTTCACCTGCGTGTCCTGTGTTCCCCTTCACTGGCATGAGAGATCCTTGATGCAAGCTGAGAAAACAAGCAAGCCTCTGCCAAGAGATGTGATATAGGAGTGTGTACATATATTGCTGTACGTCTGGGACCTTCAACCCCAACCCCCCGAGTGGATCTGTAGTATACTCTGACTCCAGTAGGACTGTATATACTGTTTTAAGTAAGAATGTGCTGAAATCTGAGTGCCTGTGGTTATGCAATAATATATTTTTCTAAAAACATGGACTTCATAGGAAGGTATGAGACTACAATTACTGTAATACATAATTTGTTTATTGTCCTAGATATTTTTTGATATTTGCCTTTATAATTGAATGCTATAAAATATTTAGCTGTGTAGAAGCAAAATATGGTTAATAAACCTAGCAGTTACCCTGAGAGCACAGGTAAGAAAAGCGAGGAAGATATATGAATTCTAACAGAATATGGGTTAATATTTAAGAATATCTGTTACATTCAAATGATGTGGAAGATCTTTCTATCAATTTCACCCCTTACCTGAAGAAGCCAGTCCAATTTCATTTGATCATATGACAGCTTTGTCTTCTGTTTCTACAGCCCCTAAGTCAGCATTCTGAACTGACACCTAAAAAATTTCTTAGACACCTAAGAACCTTCAGAAAAGTATAAACAAGGTTAATAGATGAATTAGTGGAATTTACCTTTTGGTTTCTATGGTAATATTGACTTGTGTATTCCAATAAATAAAATAGCCAGGAGAGAGATTTGGGAGATGTGTGACATGTATCATATTGAATTAACATTCCTACATGTATTGCACATTGTAAAAAGTTTGTTTAGATCAGTTGTGAGTTTACCATTTAAGCTGTAAAAACATGTTGCACCGAGATCATATAAGTGAATAAATGTCTTGCCTATCCATGGTTTGTCCAGGATTATGTCTCCTAGGAATTGCCAAATCTTTGTTATATTTTAAGAAAATTTTCTTTGATTATTAACTTCTGTCAGTAACAAATATGTAGAGTGGCTGCTGGTGAGTATACGCTATCAGACAACAAAATTCAAAGCTCACAAAGTCGGAAAGGTCTCCTAGAAGCCTTCTATCTAGTTCATTTTCTTGTCTCAGGGCAGCATATCTTTGGTATTTTCCAATGTGAACCCAGGGCTTAGAATTTTTTGTGTTACAATGTTCAATAGCAGTTCAACATGCTACATAAAGTTTGAGATTCTAGCCTTCCTAAACAATCTCATGTATTCAGAAATAAGGAAACTGAATTTATCCCAAGTGCTCTTTTTTCTCAGTAGCATATTAAAGAGGAGATACAGAGCAAGAGCAAGCTGCCAGCCTATCATAATGAACTAAATGGAAACTCAAATGAAGAGCCATTGAAATATCCAGTGACATAAGCAAGATGGGACAGAAGGAGATATCAACCCTCATCCTCCCACAGGATATAGAATATAATACATATAGAAAGCTATTCACAAATCGAAAGTAGCCAGACTGGGCTCAAGGACCCACTAAGGAATATGCAGTCACAAAACAGGGCAAAAACCGAGAGGATCCACAAGGAGAGCATTATTGGCAATATTGGCGTCTCAAGATGCCAAAGAGACAGGTGCAAAGAAAGGCAGAGGCTACTGATACCCACCACGATGGGTGGGAACCACTTTGGTCCCCAGCAACCTGCTTGGCAGAAAACACTGGCATCTCTTGCCACTGAGCTAACCAACAGCTCTTTCTGCTGGGGGATCTCAGAGATGCACAGCTGCACACCCCCACTCGCTCCAACGTCAAGCAGCGGTTGCTCTTGAGACGAGTTGCAGGTGCTCTACAGGCCCACACTGGGCCTGTCCACATCTCAGATACCATAGCAAGCTAATTCAGACTCCAGGCCCTAAAGTTAAGCCCTCATATACGCCTCTCCTGTCACCAGCTCAGCTACCATAGAGAATAGGCCCTATCCTGACCCCTGAGCCACTTGAACAAGCACATGCCTATGTACTCTTTTGTGCCTCCCCAGCTTACTTCACAAGCACCCTTACCTCAAAAACAATGTGGCAGTGGGAATGCCTGCGCCCCAGGTACCAGCGCTATTGACCCCCAGACCCCAGAGTTCTATAGTCCCTCCAAATGTTCCTTTGCTCAGGCTTCAGCTCCATGGCTATTCCATGGGCCCTACTCATTAGACCCCAGTACCACTGCAAAATAGTGCACAAGCCAGACCTTGTGCCAAGAGGGATCTTCTAAGTTACAACCTCACTAGAAGAAGAAAAATATCAGCAGGATCTCAGCAACCATTCAAATATAGCTAGTCCAACCCAGAAGCCAAAATTTAAACTTTAATTAAGTAGCCACATGTGACTAGTATCTACTTCACCAGACAATATAGTGCCAGGTTCCCAGTTGAATGAAAAAAACAGCTTCAACAAGAGAATCTTTACTATAACCATATAAACATGGAATCCTAGAGAGAGTATGACAATGATATCTGCTTTGTAAGCTAGAAGCAGCATGTTATTTCCAGAAAGTTCTAAGATTGAAATGGTAACACTGTCCTTCTACCATTATTATAAGTAAACTCCACACATTTGCTTTCTAAATATATTATAGGGAATAAAACCCTAATTATGTTTTGTTATAGATGACTACTCACATGATGTTTGACATGTACAAAGCATGGCCCCGTATTTTAGCATCTGTTTCTTGCATTCATTGAGAAGTTGTCATTAATCCCATAATTGATAGCTTAGAGTACCTGGGAGACTTGCTCAGTGGTCACAGCTGGTAAATGGTGAGGTACCCCTGGTTTTGTGATTTCCAATTCTGTTTTCTTCTTCACTTTTTACTATTATTTTTTATATGAAGGAAGGAAGATCTCTACCAAGATTTCTCTGTTTCTATAAACAATGATGTTTTTAAAAGTATTTAAAGATTTATGCCAATTTGGGAATATAACAAGTATCATAATCCTTTTTCACTCATATAATCTCAATAATTTTATAATTATAATTGCCACTGATTACATACAAAGAAAAATTAGCAAATAAAAAGAGGATCAAGAGCCAATTCCTGGCTCCATTACTTACTAGGCATATGAACTTGGCTAACTAAGTCTACTAATTCTTTTAAGTTTCAGATGCTTCATCTGAAAATGTGTGAACAAACATTTCAAAAGCTAAAGGTGATTGAGAAATAAGGCCCTGGAAATTAGAATGCTATTCAATCATTTGGCTGTAACTACAGTAATAAAACATAAAATCAATGCACCACCTCCCAAACACACTGATCACCATCAGCAGCCAGGACTTCGACAAAAACCTTCACAAAGCCTTCCGGGATTCCTTCTTGATTGTGAGCATTGGACAAGCATTGCCAAATATATTATTCTATTTTTTGTAGAGGCAAGTCATGAAAATTTCATCAATGGAAACATTTTTCAAATTGTTATTGATCATTAAGGTCTGTGCTGATGTGGTAACTGAAACAAGCAGCATCCTGTTTGAAAAGTCTTACCTTGGCAGCCTGACACCAGGGTATCTAAGTTCACAACAGTGGTATTAAGATTCTATGCCACAAGAACTGCAAACCTACCAAAAATAAAATAAAAACAAATAAGCTTTTACAAGGCAAAATGGTTAAGAACCACGAATGTGTGTCTTATCTTACTGTCAAAGACTCTTAAGGACTCTACTGTGCAAATATTTTAATGTTACCACTATCAACAGTTATTTTTTTTTAGATATTACAGTGAGCAGGAAACATTTACCAAAATTTACCATAAGAACTCTCAGGGGCTGTGCTTTGAAGGTGAATTATAATGTCCAAAGTCATGAACACGTTTCATCCCCTCGCCTCATCATCTGCCCTGGTCCACCAGCTCCCCTAGATCCTCACTTCATTATCCTGTCTTGACTCCACAAACTACTTCAAATATCCTCTCCACATCTACTCCTACTCCCCGACCTTTTCTTTCTACTGAACTCTTTCAATGATTGGCTCCAACCACCTTCTCCTTTCACTTATCCAAGGTTTTCTTATAATCCAAGAAGATCACCCAGTTACATAGACTGAGGCCACAATACAGACATTGGCTCCAACCTTGGCACTGTAGATGCACCCTTTGTTTTGTGTAATTGGCCAGGTACTGAGCCCCTCCTCTAGCCCAAGACAATGTTCTGTCAACTGCTCCCTGAAAAATCCTCTGCCTCTGTATTAGTTTATACATAAAGTGTGTTAGGGTTGATCTTCCTAAAGCTTATTTTCATTATATCCCTCTCCTTAAGTACTGTACTTGAAGTTCATTTGCACATTACTGATCGAATGCAAATTTCCCTGGCTGGCTGGCATTGAAGGCTCTTGCTTAACCAACCCAGACATTACTCATCCAATCTTGGCAGCCCACGGCTTCCTCTTCTCCTCTGCTGAGAAAGGAAGCAGAGAACCACTGTTAACAGAACATTCATTATGTGTCCAGGATTTGACACATCAGCTCATTGAATTTCCATATAAAACCCTTTCTATAGATGTGGTAATAAAAGTTCTGAGAGCATAAGTAACCGGGCCAGAGAAAGCAGGTGGGAAAACAGCCCAAAGCTCAAGTCTGCTCATCATAAAGTCCTCATTCTGCTCACTGCCCTGTGTGGTTCTGTCAACCCAATCACCTTGTCCGCTACACTTGTTATTCCTCAGTGTCTTCTCTCCTTGCTGTTCTTTGGGAGATTCATAGCTCCCACCCCCACACCCTGAAACTGAGTTCTCCATGCTTTAAAGACAAGTAAAACTTGTCTGACTTACTTTACTACATTATTTATTCCTTATTTAATCGCCCACAGTTTCCATTTCTTTTCCTCTGTGTTGTTTTCTTCATAGAACTTACTACAATATCATCCATACTTATGTTTACAGCCACATAAATAATTCACATGTCCACTATCTATCCAAATGCTTACTGATGGCCTGTCTGTGTCAGGTACTATGCTAAGTTCTGGAGAGAAACAAACAAACAAACAAACATGATTCCTCTAAAAACTTAGTCTTTTAAAGATGGCAGACAACAAATTATTAAGTCATTACAAAGTTCAGTTAAGTGGTATGAAGGGAAGGAATGGGGTACAGCCCTAGGAGAGGGAACCCTATTTTAGACACCAAAATCAATAAAGGACTCTGAGAGGCAACATTTGGAGACATAAAGAAGGTCATAAACCAGCCACTTGAAAAGTGGAAATGATGCTAGGTAAGAAGGCTCCAGAAAGGTGCCCAGTGGGCATGAAGATAGTGAGGGGGAGTGTAGGAGGGGAATGGGCACCAAAGAGAGCAGGCAAAGTCACTAGTGGGGTTTAATTAAAGCAGGGCATGATATACACAGAAATATAATGGTTAAAAAATTATTCTGGTGGTTACTGGGTAGAAAATAGGTTAGTGGGGAGCTGAACAAAGGGAAGAGCACAGAAAGAAGCAGTGAAACTTGGAAGGAAGCCACTGTGGCAGTCAAGGACAGATGAGGGGACATGGATTCAGGTAGTAGAGAGGAAGCAATTCTGGTAAATTTCTGAAGTAGGACAAATGGAACTTGTATATTCACTGGATGAAAGGGAACACAATGAAGAAGGTGATGAGGGTGGAACTGGGTTCTGGGCTTAAACAGGAAAAAAAATTACACCTGAGTGGACCACAAGAGTCCATTGTGCTGGAGAAGACCCAGGGCTAGGAATAAGGACGAGAAATTCATCTTCCCTCAAGTTATGCTTGAGTGGCCTGTGAGAGATGGACAGCTGGATATTCAGCAAAGCCTGGAGTCTAGTGGAAAAGTATCCTTAGAGGAGCACATTTAGGAGCTGACAGCAGTTAGACCATAATAAAGTTTAAAACCATAGGAAACCATAGGAAAGAATGAGTTTGTCTAGGGAGAAGGGG